CGGGGATCCCAGGACCAGCATCTGGGGGCCCTGTGAGCCCTGCACCGCACAAACCAGGCCTGAGTGCAGGAGGACCTGCAGCTCCGCCGAGAGCAGCTAGCCCAGGACCGTGTCATGTGCTCACACTTGCAGGCCCTGCTGTAGAGTGTGCTGCCCTGTGCCCCCCCAGCCCCTGATGCCCCCCCAGCTACTGTTCCTCTTCCCACTTCTGCCCCCCCACCTCTCCCTCCTCAACTTTCTCACCCTCCTCCTTAATCTCCACACCCTGCACCTCAACCTCCACACCCTCCTCCCCATCCCCCTGGGGATGCCGAGGCCCCCGCACCCACTGTGCTGGGAGACATGTGGCCCGACGAGACCCCCACCCCTGAGTGCTGAGCTTCCCCTTGCTTCCCCCTTCCAGCTCCCTCCTCCCAGTTTTCCACCTCCCCTCTCCCATCCTCTCTCCTCCCCTCTCCCGCCTCCTTTCCCCAGTCTCCACAGAGTTTCATTCCCCCTCCCCAGTTTTGTTAAATAAAGACAGTTCGTGTTTATAAAAAACGTGTCTTTTATTTGACATCAGGAAGGGGAGCTAGGGATGGGTAAGTGGAAGGATGTGAGGGAGGAATGGGGCATGAGCCCCCAGTGGGGAGGACCGGTGTGGCTCTGAGGGCTCCTCGGGGTGGATGCTCTCCCGCAGGGCCTCCTGGATCCTGACAGCCCCCTGATGGACCTCCTGGATGGCAGCCTGCAGCAAGTGCAGCCGGGCTGATGGCAACAACCCCACATGATGCACCAGCATGCCCAGGGACAGGTCTGGTTCCATGTTGCAGAGTGCCGTGGTGTCCTGAGTGAGGGCAAGCAGAGCACTCTGAGACATGAATGCTTTGCTATCCCTCAGCGAGGTGGACCAGCAAGCAGAGAAACCTGAGAACTGTCTGTCCGGGATTGGGGGTCGGGTCCCTTTAAGCACAGCCCTCGGCTAGCCTGAGGAAGGAGCTCCTAAGTCCGACCCTGATGCCCTGCTGGCAGTGGTTCTGGCCAGCATTAACTTTGGTTCAGGGTCCACTCAATGTGGACGCGCTATTTCTAATTAGAAAAACGCTATTTCGATTTAGTTTTTGTGTCTAAATGCATTATTTCAAATTAGCTTAATTCAAATTATCTAATTCGAAATAAGTTAATTTAAAATAGCGCTGTAGTGTAGACATCCCCTTACATCACTCATGCTCCTCAGTCTGTTCACTGCATCCTTTGCTGTCTGCAGGGAAAAAAGTGAAACTGCCTCAGCCCCTGTTTGCTGAATGCCTGAAGTCGATGAACTGAACATGTACCTCTGCCACTCACTGTCTCCTCTTGCTCCCTGAGGGTTCCCTGCTGTGCCAGTAACATGGGAGATTTCTGTATTTCCAGGCCGGGACAAGCTGCGCCTTGTGGGAGGAGAGAGCAATTGCTCGGGCCGAGTGGAGGTTTGGTACCGTGGCTCCTGGGGCACAGTCTGTGATGACTCCTGGGACCTGGCGGATGCTAACGTGGCGTGTAAACAACTGGGCTGTGGAGCAGCCGTGTCTGCCCCGGGCGAGGCTGCATTCGGCGAGGGGACTGGTCCCATCTGGGTGGAGATGCTGAATTGCAGAGGGACAGAGTTATCCCTCTGGGACTGTCGGGCCAAGCCCTGGGGTGACAGCAACTGTGGCCATAAGGAAGATGCCGCTGTGAGTTGCTCAGGTAAGTAGCAGCAGACTTCTCTGCGACATGCTGTGAGGTCCTCCCCTCCTCCCACCTTGGTCACAGACTGGTCCCTCCCATCTCCTGTGTGCAGAAACATCATGGCTTCCATGGGGTCGAAGTTTTCTGGGTTCAGACTGACTCAGGCATCAGCCCACAAAGCCACTGCAGCTCTCACATGCCCCATATGCTGTTTTGTCACTAGAGGCCTCAGCATTGCACAGAGCACACGGGACTTGGGCCCTAAATCATAAACTTGGGTAGAGGCCCCCTGTGCTGAGTCTGTGGGGGTGACTTCTGGAAATCCTCAGGGACTCTGAGGGGATGTTCTCCTTGTTACAAACACGTCCCGTCCCCCTCACTCCACGCCCCAACTCTCCTCCCTTTCCCCTTACAGGTGTGGCACAAAGGATGGATTCGGTGAATATTCCAGGTAAAGAATCTCCCTCTCCCCACCAAGGGCTGCATTTCCCTGGGGCTGGGTCCCACGGGAGAAATCATAGAACCATAGAACCATAGGGCTGGAAGAGACCTCACAAGGTCATCAAGTCCAGCCCCCTGCTTAAGGCAGGACCAATCCCAACCAAATCAAGGAGCTGCAAGCCACAGCCGGAGGGCAGGGCCCTTTCCCATGGTCTGTGAAATCTCAGAGCCAATGACTCCATCTGCTGAGCAGGAGGATTCCTGTGTAGTGACAGGGCCGGGCCTACGAGTTAAGCAGCAGCCTCTGAGTTTCCCCTACCGCAGACTGTTCCAGCCCATTACCCTGTGTTCATTGTCCCTCGTTCCCCCCGACTCTCACTGACTCTTCTCTCCCTGTGGCCTGTTCCTTTCCATCCAGCTCCCCCGCGCCACCCTGCGACTGACAGTGGGAGATTCATGGTGCCCGTGGTCGTCTGCATTATCCTGGGGGCCCTGCTCTGCCTGGTCTTAATCATCCTGGGTGTGCAGGTGCAAAGTGCCAGGGCCCAGCGCAGAGGTGGGTCCTGATGGTGTCACTGTGTGAAACGCCCCTGCAGGAGCAGAGGCTGCTGGTGTCAGGGAGAGGGGATGCTGGGCTGGGAAGGGTGGCTGAGGGTGCCTGTCAACTCCTCTCTGATTTATTGTTTCAACCGATGTCTGGCAGTGGAACAGCCCAGCCATGAACTCTGGAGATGCTACTCAGCAGGGAGCGTCACAGGCTCAGGGAAGCTGTACCTGTACCCCCCTCATGAGGTGCTCCAGGGTGCCTTGTCAGACCTTAGGCCTCTAGCTGTCTCCCGCCTTTGGACAGGACCCCTGTTCCACCAGCTTCTGGCCTGGGCGGTTGGAGGCTGCAGGCTCCTGCCTTCCCCTGTGATCCCCCTGC